TATATATATATATATATATATATATTATTGCAGAGAGACCTAAAGGTAGACATACGTGGACTTCTAACGCTTCACAATATAATATAGTCGATAGGTTGCAAAACAATACAAGGATAATCTGTTTCAATTACACTTGAATTGGTCCTACGCATGAATATAAAATTGATTTTATTTGGAACGCGTTAGTCTTGTACCAAAGCGTGTGCACAATTGCACATATCGTGACGTACAGAGAGCTTCCAGGTCGGCGTGCGTGTTGTCGTGTTGCGGTATTCCATACCTCAGCTGGCATGTAATCGTTGTAGCCGTCAACAGGGTGCCTTCGCTTGATCCTGAAATATGCCCAAGGAGGTCGGAATGCACTTTTATCGTACTCCATTAGTACAATGTATTACTATCTGTACTACGCTGAATCGGTACTCTGAATGTACAACTACTGTATGTATACATAGGTACTTTATCCCAAAAAAAATACAACCGAATAGATAAGTACATCATACTCTTGATGTGATTCTCTCGCTATGAAGCTGAAAGTTAGTATTAATTGTACCCATGCATGCCTACAATCTCCCTTTAACAATAAGCTCCATAGAAGCAACTTTCCTGCCTAATGACCAGATACGCAGATACCGCAACACTATAGTGCATATTTACATTTTTGATATTTGGTTCGATAGTCTCTCCTAAATAAAGTGAAGATAAAAAAACAGTATTTAGGCTTGCGTGATGCGCAACAGCGCAGTCGCAAGTCGCAACCCAATCTATTTTGAAGTAGAAAAATGGATATGTAGCCGAAACCCTATCTATTAATAGATCGCCCGCCTAATCATTACTATTTCCTTTTTCCAACAAAGCAATTTTTTTTTAACCTTGTCGCACGAAAGTCACTGGTTTCGTCAATATTGCTATTGTTGTTTATGGACATGTAAATAATATGCTCATGTATATATATATATATATAAATATACATATTTATATTGGTGTTGTTGTAACATTTGCAGTTGGTATACATATGTCCATTCGCAGCTAATGCTGTAAATATCAAATATCACTGATTGTGAAGATCCTACTGTGAAAAAGGTGAAAATAGGTGTCTTCACACGTTGGTAAATGCACTCCTGGTAACACAATAAATGCTGTGGTTATTCTGCCAAAGCATCGTGATCATAAACCACCGCAAATCAATAAGCCCAGGCGTAACGTGTTGTGTCGTATCATCCTCCGCATATCTCGCAGTAAATAGGTAGCTTAACACGTGATCAGAGCGATGGCAGGTGCCGATGAGGTAAGCAGTGTGAATGCATCTGCATCTCCACATGTAAATGAGTTACCCGCTACCACCACAGACAACGAGGCAGAGATGCTTATCAGCACCGACGCAGAGCCTATAGGTACACAGCAGATTACAACAACGGCTGGTACTATAAGTAGTACAATGGATACACAGATAGGTACAACTGACACAACAGGCACACAAGCGAGCAGGTTTGAGGTACAAACAAGCAGCAATGTCTATCCCAGTGGGGGAAATAGCCAGGAATTGTTGGAGCCTAGCGCTGCTTCGCCGTATCAGTATGTTGCCACTGCCCAAAAATCGACGGCAGTTGGACATGCCGTCACCGGAAATTTTGTTAAGCAGGTGTGTTTAGATTATATTTATGTGTATTCTAATTTCTAAGAAGTTATTTCTGTATGTATTGGTTTGGATTGATTGATACAAGCGGAATGCTATTATAGTCAGTGTATTTGGGAAGTGGCCACATCTTTCTTGTACGTTGGCACTCTGATGTTGGTATAGGTGTGTATACATACATACAT